TAAAAGATTCCAATGAGAACAATTATTGAAAATTCCAAAAGAAAAATTCAAAAATGGATCAAGTTAGTGCATGAAACAAAATACGCACAACAAATATGAAAAAGAATGTGCGTGAAATAGAAGACGCACTATATACATTGATTAAATCCCAAACACTTATTTGAGAGAATTAAACGGTTTACAAGTGAATTATTAACTTAGCTTGATTCTCAGATGTTGAAACAATCGAAATATAGGATAATCCTTTTTTGTTGAAGTATTGATTTGCAATTAGTAAAATCTATTAACACTAGAAAGGGTAAGGATTGGTATAAAAATTTAACTTTAGTTCACACCTTGGAAAAAGAGAGTTAAAAGAATAATCTTGGGGTGTATATCTCATGAGTGATGAAATTATATATTTGATCATAGAAGTTGATATTTTAAACAATTTGTAAAATAATGATATTTTACTATATTTTTCACACACATCAATTTTGCATTGGATAAGTAGAAATTGTTTCTTGCATTGGGATTTTAAAGTTGTTCATAGATTTAATAAAATAATTTCAATCATGAGACAAATGACAAGTTATCTAACCAAATTTATTGCATTACAAGATTGACTAGCCTCTAATTAGGAAGTTAGAGTTGCATGCTTGCTTGTTGAAATGTGTAGTTTTGTTTGAGGACAAATAAATGTTAAAGTTTGGGGTAGTTTAATAAATGTATTTTTTCAGTATTTGTTATTGATATGGATGAATTATAGCTTAATTATGTGTTAATTTTTTTTGTTAGATAAAACTCACGCAAAATGGTGAAAGTGAATGAAATGAACGAAAAACAGATGAAAAAAGTTTGGTCCCAAATATGAAATCCTTGTACACGCACGCCACAAGGAGCCTTGTGCACCAAACATGAGGCTCAAATACCAAAGTAAACTGTACGCACCATGCAAGCCTTCATATGCGGGGGCAAAATTCGACCAAACAGGGCAATTTTCCTCCTTTGATTAGAACTCAAGTTCGACGCAATCTTGACCTAATTTTCGAGGACTATAAGTACAAAACATGGGCCACACATTGAGATGATATCTCTCTCATCTCTCAAATCAGGTCATTTTATAAAATCTATCAAGAAATGAGGGGTCAATTCAATATAAGTTGGAGAGGAAAACAAATCTAGTACGTGGATTGAGATAAGAAACATCAAGAAGGTGAAGAATTAAGACTAGGGGTTGAAAATCAAGAACAAGAAATTGCTTTTGAATATTTCTTGTATTCATTTAAATTAAAGCTGATACTTTTTCCATTCTTCTAGTTGTTTTGTCTTTAGAAATATGTTAAGCTAAATTCATTTGTGTTGGATGAAGATGAAGCCTTTATTTATTTATTTTTAATTCAAAGATAAGTAGTTTAGTAATTTTTTTGTGTTTGTTGATAAATTATGCATGCTCATTGAATTATTTAATTGTTTGATCACTAATTAGATAATTAGTTACTTGTTATAGTATTGGAGGCTCACAATAAGTAGAACACTTCACGATAATACACGAGACAATAGATGTTAGAAATAGCATATATCATATGTGAAATAATCTAGATAATCGTGTAATTGAATGTGTTCTATTCATATGAATTTTGATTAGGAAGAGATTGAGTCATATCTAGAATAGAATTAACTTATTTTGAAAAAGAAAATTGAATACAATAAGATTATTGATTGTAAAAAATGCATTAATGAAACTGAATTACATAATTGAAAATTGAAATTAGGATAACAATAGGTCGATTTGAATTTCCAACACATTAATATCATAGTTATTTTATAATCACATTAGTTAATTTAGGAGATAATTTATATAAATAAATATCAATCTCTTTGAGTTTATCCTACAATAATCGATAATTAATCAAATGAATACAAAAATTTTTATTTTTGACTTTTCGAATAGATGTAAAAATCACACCTATCACTAGGTAGAAGGTATTATCACCAACTAACAATATTCTTCAAAGCACATAGCTCAGAACCTAATGAGAAAAAATAAAGAAATTGAAGAAAGTTATACAAGCAAGCAATAGAAATCTAGATAGACAAGAATTGGAGAGAGAGGCACCCCATCCAAAAAAAAAAAAAGAAAGAAAAAAAGGGGGGGGGGGGGGGGGGGGGGGAGCACATTCAAAACCTAGAAGAAGAAAAAAAACAAACTTACCTAATGTTGGGGGTTCATTCCTTCCAAAATCGAAGTAATTTTCTAAAGAAACTTCAGAATATATCCAACCCCACAAAGAAATCAATCAAAATGTCAGAAAATCACAAACTGAATACCACTATAATCAGACGGGATAGTGGTTAAAATTGGATCGTTTTGATGCGCTTTAAGGGAAATGTTGTCATTCTACACTATCTATGTGGCAAAAAATGGAAAAAAGAATAATAATGCTATTTGTCATCACGATGATGAAACACCAGTGATGTGACAATCCATTATCCCTCACACTTCTCTCTCTCTTGAGATCACGTCTTCTCCCTCTCCTCACATAAAATTGAACTGATCAGTCCTATCATTTTACGTACATTGTTATATCATCAATGTTCCATCATCATAATGATAAATAACATTATTCAAAAAGAAAACTAGCAGAACAATCACTACCAATTTCGTCTTTTATATTAAAAAAAATTAGGAAACATCTGTAGACAGTGACTAAAAAACGTAGGAAAAACCATCACATCGGCTTATCCATAGCCCAATCGGGCTATTCGGCCAGGGCAATAGAAACTGGGTAAATCCAGGTTGATATGGCATTAAAAAATAAAAAATAAAGGCGGAAAACAACTTTTGAAAATGTGTCAAATTCATTTCCATATTTCTCCAAAAGTGCAAAATCCCCACAGCTGAAACCCTTCTCAATTCAATTGAAGGGTTCGGTGCTGCACGTGTCACCATCTCCAGCCCTTCACCATCTTCGGTAGCCACCGGAGCTTGCAAGTAGACCCCAAATATTTAAATCGACTATGGAACCCAGCGAAGCTTAACGGTGGTCTGAAAAGGACATCATTTTCCCAAGCCGTCGCCGTGTTATCACTTTAGCACAGCACTTATCCGTAAATCTATTTCAATTTCTTTGTTGTGCTCTGATGAGAAGGAAGCCGCCAACGATGTAATAATTTTATCCAACAACCCACAATGAGTAACCCACCTGTTTGTTGAAAGTAGTTTTAAAGATTTTTCTGTTGTTTTACAATTACTTCCAGTTTGAATCTCTAGTGTTTGGTGTTTGTTTGCTGTTGTTTGGTGCCGTGTGTTTTTAGTTGTGTTGTATGGTTCATTTTCTTTCTTTGTAGATTAGAATGATCATAGGGAACTTTGGAATCTGTCATAGTTGTAAAGCTAAGCCCCATCTCTTCAATGATTGCCTAAGGAAACGCCCATAGCTATCATGTAAGCATGGATTTGCGAAATATTTTGTGGTGGAGAAGGAGACTGTCAATAATGGAAAATTATTGTTTGCTGCAGTAACAATTACAAATTTTGGAATTGGGTTGTGAAAAAATCAAGTGTTAGTGCTACATATATTAGCCCTATAACAAACGAAATATACTACTAAAAATAGGCTTCAGGTATGGATTTTTCGTTCCTGAAACCTCGATATTCGTTGCTATTACTCTTTACCAACAGAATATTTACAACTGCAAATCCGTTGCTAATTTGAAGGTCGTTGATAGTTACCAACGGATCTTGTCGTAGGTAAAGAATAAACATTTTACCAACGAATTTTCCGTTGGTAAAGTGTGAATCTTTTACCAACAAAATTTTCGTTGGTAAAAATTTTAATCAATGCCAACCGACTTTCCGTTGGTAAATGTCTACCATAACAATTGGTAAAAATCAATGTTGTAAATAGCAACACAAGTGTGAGGCATGGTAAAAAAACAAAAAAAAAATTATTATTATTATCATCATTATTATTTATTTAATAATTCTAATTTTTTTTAACTTTTAGGCAATCTAATTGAAAGGCCAAAATATTGTTTAACCACTTATTAGATCACAAATTAATTTATAGAGGGCAACTCCAATGACTTTGTTGTGAACTTTCGATGTGGGATAAGTGAATTATTTTTACCAATGGATAATCCGTTTCTAATTACCAACGGAATATCCGTAGGTGAAAATTTCAAATGTTAAACGATTACATAAGGCATGGAATATCCGTTGGTAAAGAGATATTATCGTTACCAATAGAAATTTCGTTGCTAATTATTGTAGTTGAAAGTGAATTACTTTTACCAATAGATAATCCGTTTCTAATTACCAACGAATTGCATCTGTTGGTAATATTCGGTACGTTTACTACGAATATTTCGTAGGTGAAAGATCCAAATGTTAAATGATTACATGAGACACAGAATATCCTTTAGTAAAGATATATCATCGTTACCAATAGAAAATCCGTTGCTGATTATCGTAGCTGAAAGTGAATAACTTTTACCAACGGATAATCCATTTCTAATTACCAACGGATTGCATCTGTTGGTAATTTTCCGTAGGTGAAAAACTGTTTTTTAATAGTGATAGTTGATGAAATGTCCCATAGTCTTGAGTCTCTAATTCGGCTTAATAACTAAGAGCTCAGGATTTTGATGGACATAACAATCCGAATGGACAAAGTAAGTGCCATGCAGAATGCAAAAGGGAAGCGGTCGACTTGATTAGTAGATATTGTTGAAAACTTTTGTTGAAACTATCGTAGTTAATTGACAAACTATGTCTGTGTATGAAACTTGAGTTTTTACCCTTTTGTTGGAATCTAGATGGTTATATCTAATGCAATGATGAGTTCTCTATTATCTTAAATCTCCACTTAAGTAGCCATTTAGCTTTGTATTTTGTTGATTGTGAATGCATTTGCAAACTACAGGATCCATTTTGACTAGAAAATGTATAGGTGGATAGATGAGATATGCAAAGTAGCATATTCCAACAAGAAGCAAGACTAAGAAATCGTAACACAAATGTAAACTAAGAAGGTGCCCATTCTCTATTTTCCTATATAGTGTACAAAAATATGTAGGCAAGTCTACTACATGTAATTTACAAATTACCTTCTAATTAAAAAATAGGACTAAATCCTTAGAGAACCTTTTTGTAACAAGCAAATGTCCTTCACATAGAAAAAAATTGAAGCACCATCATCCATACAGTATTTGTTCCAGCATAAACCACAAAAAATAGACAAATATGTACTGCATCCAATTCGGTCCAGCAATAAATGGCTCACTTTAGGACTTGCTTCATGCTTCTTCGGCCTTTGCGACTACATGTCAAAGTCACATACCTCAAAACTCCATCATCCCCCTTTTTTGAACTCCTTTTCTTCATTGGAGTATACTTTTTGTGCAATTGAAATATCTCTTTCTCGTCTTTGAACAGCATGCCCAACTCATGCACAATTACACCATCTCCCCATAGGTTCACGGTTTCCGTAACGTTCTCATTATCCGACCCCCCCGATGTACATCATCATACGTTTTTCCTTCCACTATGTTCATGATTTCCATTACATTCATGAAAAAGCAAATTTTGCAAGTTGTTGTTAGTTTAAATTCATTAAACATAAGTACAGATATACAGCATCACCTTCATGAAAATTCATTTTGCCAATTTCAGTTTACTAAACAAAATTACATGTATGTCAAGCCACAGAAGTGATGATACCTTCAGGGATATGGGTTAGGCCCTAGAGCTTCACGCATCTTCGAATGGAACAGGTTTCTCAGATTTGGGAAAAGTGGAGCTTCACTCTTCTTTGCTATGTGTAATGGCCTCTGTAGTGTCTGGTCGGAGATAGCTTGAACACACTAATGAGTCGTGGATGAGCTCATGTGGATTGGCCAGAAATCGACGAGATCGGAGCGATCGTTGCTGGGTGTTGATGGTCACGACTTAGGGGTATAATGGTTTTCAATTGGATTATTATGCTTTTTCAATTTAGGAGGAGTTGCGTAAGAATTTCATTTGGGTAAGTCAACAATTCATATTCATTCCTAAATTTTCTTACCTTTCCTTCTCTCCTTTTTCCACTGTCACGTCAATTGTTTAAAAAATCTTGTCACCAAATCTTATCATTGAGCTTGTCCATTTAGATTAATTGATTAGGGACGGTACGGGTAGGTTTGGGTAGGGAGGGGGAGCCCCGTTGGGAAATTTTTCGCCTCGTACCCAGCCTATTGCACGTTTATGGCGGACCGAAGAGGGGCAGGGCGGGGCCGGGCAACGCAAGGCCTTGCCCCCATTTATGTATTTGTTTATTTATTTATTTATAATTTTTGATAATTTATTTTATTGTACTCATTCATTAAAGTGGGATAATGATATAGCTATTAGATTTTTTAATTAATTTATTTATTTTCAAAAGTTAAATTATTCAAATATATTAGGTAAACTGAAGTTTTTATTGTTTATCATATTCTTTAGATAATCTTAATTAACATATTCTATTAGAATTGTGAAATTTTTCATTTAAAATATTGAATTCTTAGAATAATAATAATAATAATAATAATAATAATAATAATAATAATAAAAGAGACGGGTGTTACCCATACTCGCCTTTTAACCATCT